GTTAACTCTGGTTTTGGTTAAAAAACCTGCTGTCTTTAAAAAGATGTGCATGTGTGTGTGTGGGGAAATGGTGTTGGTAATGCAAAGGTTTTAGTCTGGACAACAAAGAAAAGTTCAGTTATTGAGTTATTGAAGGAAAAAAGCATAATCCCTGCATGTATTGGTTTGATCTGAGCTGAATTCTATTGCAAATTATGGCATCTGCCTTTGACTTGAGAGAAAAAAGCCTAGCCAACCCAAGCACCTATAATAATAACTGTAATAGTAATTATTATTTTTAATTTTGGTACAGAAGTCCATGGATTTAGGGGAGGGTGGCTGTTTCCATCAGCTTAGGAAAACTATTCACATGGTCAAAGTTAAGCACGCAGCTAAATCATTGGAGGAACAAGAATTTCTGCAGGCAGATAAGAGCCTAATAATGTGATGATGAGGGCCCAGACTTCCACAGATAGCAGAAACTAATATTTGTGATGCAACAGTCTTGCATTATTCAGTAGTTAAAGATAATTCTAAGAAACAGAACAGCTTGAGAATTAGCAAAACTAGCAATAAAATATTCTTAGCTGACTCCAGGGGGAAGGAAATTGCCATGTACAGGATTTGCATTCATCTTCATGTTTATTAAAAATGAGACAGCACTGCTTTTCCTCGTGCTCAGCTGGAATAGCTCCATGCCCTGCTGGAACCATGTGTCCTCCCTGGCCCCTGCTCAGCTCCAGGACCCGCTGAGATCTCACACTAACTCATGGCATATGTGGGTTGTTACTGGGGTGAGGGTGATGGGAACCCAACCAGCTGCTTGGGCCATGCAGGAGGGTCCCCAGGACGATACGAGTGCTGCTGCCAGTGCTAATTGCTGATTGTGTGCCTGCTTGGCCTCCCCACAGGGTGTCTGTGCCCCCTCCCAGGGCTGTTGGTGAAACATCAAGGGAAAAGCAGCTTAAGAAAAGCAAGAAGCTGATGGCCCTAAAGGAGGTGAAACATTGCAGGGCTCAGTAACACCAACATGAAGGAGTTTGCACACTCATGCACACATGGCTTTGGTCCTGCATGCGCAGAGAAGATCGAGAAATACAACTGGGAGCAGCCAGCTCAGGCTTCCTCCTCTGGGCATCAGCTGGCCTAGGGTACTCAGTCATTCCCTAAATGTTATGGAACCATTCCTGGCAGCAGAAGGCCTGGCTGCTCTTGGGAGTGCTGCAGCTCATGTGCAGAGCTGCAGGGCAGTGGGCAGGCGAAGGGGCTGAATGTCCTGGTGCAGCAGCCACAGAGACTACCAGCGTGCTAGTAAAGACCCTGGAATGTGCCCAAATTGCGCTAACACACAAAGATCTTGTGCTGCAGGAACAAAATCACCATCCAACTGATATGCACCAACAGTTCAGTGCAGCACAAACATGTCTGCATGGGGTTGTGGGAGGAACTGCTACTTGAAACGAGAAGTGCTGGGGGAAAGACATACTTCTTGCTGTAAGGAATTAAAGCTTCCCACTGCCAGACACATGCAGAAGCACCTGAGACCTCCCAGACTCCCACTGATGTCTGCACATGTAAGACCCACACCTGCCACCAGGCTACCATTAACCAACTCACTGCACGGGTAAGTGTGCCATTAGCAGTGAACAAGCTGGGATGGACACGTGGGGAAGGAAAAGGAAATAAGAAACATAAAAATAATTAAAAAAAAATAAAAGCAAGTGAGACTATTCAAAAGGGGGACTTTATTTTCATTACACTGGAGCCAGACGTCAGTGCACCAGTTCAGCTTTGATACACAATAAATCAGCAAACCCGTCACTCAGTTTGGAAACCAAGATTGCAGTGGCACTAAAAACACACTGAAAACATTGACTTTCTTCCTTTTTTTTTTTTTTTTTTCCCTCTTTTGTTTTTGGTACAAAAATGGTACAAACAACAATACAAAATATTTGTGCTGTTGACGGTTACAAAAAAAGGTTTTTGAACTGGGTTAACGGACGCAAACTGCTTTTGCGCTTCAGCGTGAATACAGCAGAACAGCAGAAGTCTTCCTTGAGGACAACCACAGTCATGCGGGCTGCTACACAGCTTCTCCATCGGAAAAGGAAACATGCAAAATCAGAATTGAAAGACGAGGAAGTGCTCCGGTTACACATCTATATGTTCTTGTTGCTTTTTGCCCCTATTTGATTTGTAGCTTCAAGCACTAACTACATTATGTACACAGTGTGTGAGCAATTGCATATGGGGTTGGTGTGTACTGGAAAGAACTTTTATTTTCCCCATGGAACTGAGTTAAGTTTGTGTGGGAGACACCTATGTTGTCTAGCTGCTGTTCTAAACATACGCATTCATTGTCATACAGCATTCCCCCCCCCCCCCATTTTTTTTCCCACAGTTACAATGAAGAGCTCCAAAAGACATCACAAATAAAAGAAGTCCCATATTTTAACTTTGTTGTTCTTTTTTGAGACTAAACAAAGTTGCAATCTTGGCATATTGTGTTGTACAGACCCTGCACTGACCAATACCATTCTCCAATGCCCGACTGTCTACGCTATGCGAAGCAGTTGCAGGCGATACAGCCATCTCCTAGAGTCCCACTTATTCATGGAGGCTGGATTTGGACCCAACTATCCCTAAAACCCCTATGAGAGAGGTCTGAAAGTGGCTCAGCTGCAGGGGAGTGAACTCCCCACCATCACCACCTCACATCCACCAACAGCATTGCCTGGTCCAACAAAAAAGGAAAAAACATAAAGTATGGAAAATGCAAACCCAGAAGCCAAGCTATGACTAGCACATAGGGCACCTAGAACAGTCTTGCCTATTCACTGTCATTAACTACCTGCTGAGTCTCCTCTTTGCTTTGCAAAGCATTTCTGTGACTAATGCTTCTCCCTATTTACAGGCTACATAATAAATAAGCTGCACTGAGGTGTGGGCCATGCTCTGCCAGCGTTGGACCTGCATGGTCCTTGGGTTGGTGATGTGCAATCTTCATGCCTAAGAGGTGTCCAGTGTGCTCCCATGCCCTGGCAACTCACTGTCCCCGTCCCTTAGTGTAGAGAGCTGCTGTGGTGTCCCCTGGCAGTGCTATGGCTATGGGGGTGACAATGGTATTTTGGGAACAGGCTTGCCTCCACCTGCCTGAAAGCAAGTCCTTCCCCACCGGTGCATGGTGTGCGGAATGGGGACTTGCATGTGTGGGCACCACTTCTTTAATTAGTTTAAGTTTAATGTTTAGTTTAGATTAGTTGGAGAACAAGGATTCTGGTCTCAATGAGTTAACCATTTCTGTGGCCTGAATTGTACCTTCAGACAGAGCTGCTGTTTCCCCAGCCCGGCTCCTTGTAAGCCACTGTCACCTCTAGCGGTGAATGGAAACGGTGAATGAGCATCAGAGTGTGGGGACAGAGCACTGACACAGTCACTTTTTCAGTCGGGTCCCTTGGATTAATGTAAATTTTCTTAGCTGGATTATAAATCATAAGTACTATTAACAAGCAAAAATGTTTGCAAGCAGTGATCTGTTTTCATTGCTCGATGTGCTCTTTGCTTACCTTCTACTGTTCCCACTGCAAGGAAAGGGGCTGCTGCTTACTTGTGGGGCTGTAAAGCTCAGTGATGGAGGGAGGAGGAGGAGGAAGAGGAATAGGGAGTGGAGGAGCAGGTCCTGGAGAGGGAGGCTGAGCAGAACTGGGTCAAAAGACAATAAACTACTTGGTTTGATTTATGGGCTTGTGGAGTGGAATGGCTGGATTGCAAACTCTACAGAAAAAATATCTGCTGATTTAAAAAAAAATAGTCACCAATGGAACAGGTTGATTTATTTTTAATCACTCAAACAGTTTTGTTTGACTTAAGTTGCATAAATGTTCTTAAAAGCCCAAAATGTTTAGACAAGCTGAAGTCTGACAACGTCTCCTTCATGGCCAAGTGGTTCCTGTCACTGCATGTCATGTCCCCCCGGGTGACAGTGAGGCGATGCTGACCAGCCCCTCCAGCCTCCAGCCCTGCAGCAGCCATCCCACAGTGCTGCCATTCCCTTCCCTACCTGAAATCCATCACCTCAGCCAAAGCCAGAGCAGATGATAGCAGGAACCAAACGCTCTCCAGCAGGGACTTATTTAGCTACTGCTCTTGGGTAAGTGGTGCCAGGTAGGTTGCACAGCTTGGCTTGCAGCGAAGACCCAGCTGGCATCGTGGGATCCACACGAGCATCCCAGGAGCCATGTGGAGCTGGCAGGCAGCAGCAGCAACCCAATGGATAGCACTGGATGGATAGCATCACCCCGGCCCACAAGCTGCATCCTTCTCTTGAGTTGGAGATGAGGTTATGGTGATGGACACAAAACACTGACGGGTAGTCATCAGCAAGAAACACTAAGTGCATTTTTATTATTCACTATTTCTGCTGTGACTGGGCAGCTTCTGTGGAGGTGCAAAGCCCAGATGGTGAAACACTTCAGCCTGTGGCTTTTTGGAAAGAAAAGGGAAGAATCAAGCCTGCCCGTGGGAAGAGAGCAGTGGCTCAGGGCAATGCAGCCCGCCCGCGCCAGCCGGCTGAGGATAGGGGCTGTGAAGTTTGCTGAGGGTGGCCAGGAGGAGGTGGACAGTTCACGGCAGAAGCAAACTAAGACTCTAATAGTGGTCATACAAGCAACTGAGTTCTCAGCTATGGAACAGGAATTTGGGAAGGCGTCAGGTGCTGGCAGTTTGCCAGGCACTGCATTTCATCCTGGCTGAGGCATGCGCTGTGTGGCGCAATGTCCTCGCCTTGCTGCTGCCATCAGCACCGTCCCTCTCCTGAGGCCCAAGCCATCACCTCCCGCTTCCTCAAGAAACTTGGGTGAGAGAGCTGTGAAAGGACAAAGTGACCCATCGACTGACTGACCAGGACAAAAAGAAAGATCACATCCTTAGTAGTTATTTACATACTGGTAACGTTGGAGTCCCCTTGGGCAGACTTTTACCACATTCCACTTCATACAAGACACATTTCAAATGCTCATTAATTTACAGAAATTGCATTTTATAGAAAATATGATACAATGAAATATAAAATGCACCAGGAGCATTTCAAAAATCTATAGAGACGATCTTGCAGCCTAGTATACCCTCTGAAACGACGTCCACTCATCACCGCAAGCTCTCGTCCTCTCATTCTCGCTTCCCTCCCACCCCCCTTTAAACTCTTAGCATTCAACTTCAGAATTAATAGAGATATCAAAAAAAGCGTGATTATCCCCTGGATAATCACCTTCCAATATTGTGCACATTCTTGGATTTAAATGAAAATATATCTAAGCAATTTTACAAGTTTTAGCGAACCCACTGCAAAATCGTCTGCAGAATATAAAACACAGGTAATCCAAGATTTCATAGCACATTAATTAAGTGGCTCATAATCCATTAAATGTGGTTTATATTACACATCCATGCAGTCTAAATCATTTTACAAACATTAGACATAAACCCACTAGTCCAAATCAGTAAAGGAAAAATGTAATAAAAAAGCTAATAACTATTTGTTATTGGTTAAACTGACCCTACATATAAACTAGGTAGTATGCTACCATTTATAATACTGATGTTGAATTACGCCTGGATGCTGCAAAACCTCTTGCTTACTTGGCAATGCTTGAGCATATTAACCACACAATACTTAACAGGCCCTCGTTGCACTTCTCCTCCAGAAAAACACATTTACTACAGATAGCAGCGCCTACCCATCAAATAGAAAGGACACACATTAGCTGAGTTACACGATATTGTTGAGCTTTGGCTACTAATGCTCCAAGGCATTAATATTGTACTAGACTAACTTCATACTTACGGATGGCAAAAGTGCTGATAAACTGCTCCTGCCCTTTGCGCTGCCACGGTCTCGAGCAGAGCCACTGCACAAACCCCTGCTTCCACCAGGAAAACGGCACCGGCTTTCCTGCTAGCAGGAATCCCCGGCGATGAGGGACACCCCCACCTAACCCAGCTGGTATTTACATCACTCCAGAGGTCATGGGAGCCAACACACACCAATAGCATAAAAACAAACAACTGGGCCTTTGGTCATGTCATGATTTACTTTGTAGGGTTTAGGCAAGGGCTGTCGGAGATTTCTGTTGCAATAACCAAAGGCTTTATCAACGCTATAGTTCTATGCAGCTACATTGAGTGTGACCAGGTGATGGCAGAGCCCCCAGTCGGTATTTTGCATCTGATAACACTGAATTATATACAACATGATGACTAGTTCACCACCTGCTGAGGCTTAAAGATGGCTGTTCAGATTTTGACTCAAAACATCTTCCCCCTCCCCTCCCCCCGCATCCTCCTCCACCCAGAACAACCTAAAAAAAAAAAAAAAAAACCAAACAAAAAAAACAACAAAAAAAAAAACCAAAAAAAACAAAAAAAAAAAAAAAAAAAAAAAAAAAAAAAAAAAAAGAGGGGGGAAAAAGAAAAGGAACAAAAAAACCCAAAAAACCAATCTCCAGAGTTCCTTTTTGTTAAATCCTTCCCAGCTAGAACTGGCTTAAGGTCACAGGGAGTGCTGCCCAGGATGGTTGTATGTTTGTTTTCATCACTCCTGAGATTGAAGGGAATCTGATACATGCACCAAAAGGCACTTTCA